GGGTTGCTTGTAACCAATATCAACCTCTTCTTCTTCTTTATATATTCTTGCATCAATAGCATGACTCATTCCAGTTTCACCCATTAATTACCTCTTTTACTTAATGCTGTCAATGATAACATCATGAAACTCCTTCTTTGGAATTTCCATAACTTCTTTCAATGTGAATTCCACCTTAGCGTTTAATATATGTTCTTCCAACACCCCTTTCAAATTTGTGGCTGCTTCAATGTCAAAAAGTAGCTTATAAGCAATTGATTTGTCTTTATCTTTTGTCTCCTTTGTTTTTTCTCCCAATGATTCTGAGATATCCTTTACAGGCAATTCTTGTGAAGCTGCCTCCCGAGCCTTGTCTCCTCGAGTTTGCCTCTTAGAAGAATTTTCTTCTCTTGTATCATCAAAATTTCCTCGTCTCTTTTCTTCCATCAAAGCTTCATGTTGGCTCTTAGCAATATATGCATGAACTGAAAGAGTCTCAACGGGATCCTCCCAACCTGTTGCACCTCGTATTGTAGCTGCAGTCCTCAATAACGCTTCTCAAGGTAATTTCCCTTCTTGCATTGTAGAAACGGCAAAAGCCCAAAACTCACTAGTTTTCATACTTCCACCAATTTCATCATCTACTCTAGCACCATAACTTGCACTTTCTCGTGCTGTTGTTTCATGCTCTTTTAAGTAATCTTGAACCAATGCTCTCATTCCTCTTTTGCCAAAATTGATTTGAAGAAGATCCTTCCTATCTTTCAATGCTATCTTCCCATCTTTCCAGCAAATAATTCCTTGTCGTATCATATTATTAAATTCATTGCAATCTTTTCTAGTGTGTGAAGCATCATCACACCAAATGCATCTTTGTACATATCCTTGTTTTGAAACATTCTTCGAATTATTTATAGAAGTATTCTCTTCAAGTCTTGCTAATTTGATTTGAAGATCTCGCATTCCTCGTATAATTTCTTCCATCTCCATATCTACTTTCTTCGATAAGGATGTCGAAGGTTGAACTGTAGGCATTGTTGGTAGTGTTGTACATACTGGAGCTTTGGGTGCTTGTACTGTTTTCTGAATATTGCTCCTATCCTTCCTCCTTTCTCTTTTTGTAAGCAACCCCACTGCATCTTCAACAGTCTTCCACTTTGTTGTCAATCCTTCATCTTCTTCTTTGTCTTCAAGAAGGAGTTCTAATTTCCCTTGCAATTCTCCATCAGCAGCTTGAAGAAATAGATCAACTTTGTTTGGCTCCAATGTCAATTTTTCTACCTTCGATAATTGAGAGTACTGCCTCTCAAATTCCCTTAGTAGCTCTGTTGCTTGTAAATTCTTATTGGGCCGTTCAATCCATCCCAGAAACAGCTTCTTAGTAACGCGATCAGTATCTTCCAAGAAATATTCGTCTTTCAATGCATGTGAAAAATCCTCCCATGAATTCCCATAACGATCTGTAATCGATGTAATGTGGTCCCTTATCTCCAGTATCGTGGCAAGTCTAAATAATTCAACCATTTTTTTCTCAGAAATCCGATTTAATTCCATTTCACGAACATAACATCTTAAATACCTTGAAATATTCCTCCCATCAAATTGATCAATTTTATTGACCACTACTTGCAATGCTTTGGTTGCCAAAGCTTCCTTTCGATCATTACTTTGTTGTTGTTGCATTGACAATGAGAAGGCTTGAAACAAACTAGCAATAGACGGATCCATGTGCATACCTTGTCCTTTAGAAGAATCCCCACCAGAAACTCCTCCCAAAAATCCTTCAAAATTTTTATTTTTGTTTTCCATAAAATAAAGATAAAATCAACCAAAATCCAATACCTTCCACCTCAAGCTTTCACGTCGGGTTCACCACTTTTGTCGTATTATGTGCTTTCCTGCTCGAGAATGCACCGAGCATCTGGCTGTAGAAGGTAGTATGGAGATTCGCCAATATTCAAGCAGTTTATCGGTTTTTAACTGTTGAAATATAAACAACTGCAAGAATACATTGTAAATCTATACAAATGCCCTTCGACTGTTTGTCGAAGTCCTTTTTGCCCTAGCCGGTAGGTCTCTAGACGTTACAGAGAACCCCGAACAACCCAAACTGCTAATCTTCGATACCGCTTTATACTCACGATCTTGTATCCACTGATTGTCTTGTTAGATTAACCCAATAAATTTCATTCACTCCGCATACTCAATCCTATAGACACCCTTTTAACTCTTCATCACAGACGTAATTCGATTTCACAAAACAGTCAAGAATAATCAAACCCACTTCATTAAAAATCTCGATTCACCATTACAACACTGACTTCAGCAACGATTGCCTCAGTCTTTCCAAAACCCTATGAAGAAAAAAAATCCAATTCTATGTCTTTCCTTCCCCGACCCGAAGCATGAAGCTCGCTCTCTCCCTACTTCAAAAACCTCCTCAAAAACTTATTCCCTCCCCTAACCTTATCCTCTGAATTTCTTCAATCTTCCGTCTTGGATCCGGAATTGGCTCCCACCGTTAGAGCTTGGATCCGAAATTGGCTCTCGCCGTCAAAGCTTTTTCCTTCGTTTTTACCTTTAAGAGATCTTTTTACCGAAAACAACGTTCTCTGAAATGGCACAGAGAACAGGACAACCTGAAACAGAATCGAAACCCCGTAATCGGGACCACATTGAGTCGCCCGACCAATTTAGGTCTCATATTGGCTAAGAGTCCAGTAGTAAGACCCGGATGTCCCCATAATTGGATCAAATTGGTCCTTCACGTTAGATTGGCTGAGGCCCGTAGTAAGACCTGGATTGTCCCGTAATTAGACTGCATTGGGTTGCCCGGCCAATTCATGTCTCATATTGGGTAAGAGGACCCGGATTGGATTCTTGAAATTGGATCCAATTGGCTCTTCGAACCAGGCTCACTTGTCGTGTGAATTGGTCCTTTCCCTTCATGCTGACTCCCGTTATTGGAATCGAACAGAGCATTTCAGTATGCCCTGGCTGACTGTAACGGGGTGATTGAACCTGGCCACTCAGTATTTGCATTGGAGTTGGTCGTTGCTCCCAATATTCGAGGTAACTGAACATTAATAAAAGTCCCTTTTTTTTATATTTTCACGGTATACTCGTGTTACAGCACGACAACGCGTACCATCGAACTTATCCGGAAGGCTAATTCGGGGCTCCTTATGTTGTAGAACCAGCGGTGCTTGTCGAACCTGAGGTAAAGTTGCTTCTCCAAGTGCAGAAGTTTGAGGCTGGTGCAACCTAGATTGTGCCATCTCAGATGCTCCATCATTATGAAGCCTCGCCATAACTCCTTCAATCTCTGCAGTTCTTTGCGATAACGTAGCGAGAGCATTCATGATAGCATCCAACTTGGACTCCGAACTTTCCATCATACTAATGTCTTGGCCTCCGACCATTCTAAGAGAAGGACAGAAATGACTGTACAAGAAGACAATATTCGTTTAGAGGAGGGTACTCCACAACCTCTAAAATGCCTTAAGAGCTTCAAGAAAAGGGGTAATAATGAAGACAAGATTGATGACAAGGGCCTTGGTTACTATACTAGGGATCATTGGACTAAAACTACTACAAAAACTTTAATGAAGATAAAAGACTTGATAGATCTAGTATTTGCTCTCATTGATTATAGAACTAAAATCAATATTACATCAAAAAAAAAATTACAAATATAGAAGGTGGTCTATTGATATTAAACATGGTTAGGTGATTTGGCAAAAAATAATTCATAAAAGCCATATTTATATGTCTTGAATTATTATTAAATCAAGATGATGAGATATTAATTAAAAATCTATTTTTGATTATACTTTTATTATATAGTTGTATTACAATATGACCTTGCCTTTTCCAACCTTCTCCAATTAGTAGTAAAACCATTTTCTACTATCCCATCTTAAAAAAGAAGAAGAAAAAACAATCTATCCTTTAATAACTCATGTGCAACTTGTAAAAACAACTCTAATTTCTTCACCTCTAGAAGGCACTTTTTGAATAATAGAAGTTGTCTAAATTTCTTCTTAAATTCTTTTAGTAGCTCGATTAGTTCCATATATTTTTTTAGTTGTTGTTCCATCCAATCAAAGAAATCTCTCTTAGTCATCCTTTCACTGTTCTCATTAAAGTATTTATTTCTTAATCTCTCCTCAAATCTAACCATTGTATTCATATCAATGCTCATATATAGTTGTTTCACCCTTTCTCTAATTTCTAGAACAATTTCTAAATCAAAGATCTCAATCATCATGTCTTTTGAAACTTGATAGATTTTCATTTTATATTCCATCATATCTCAAAAATTCAATATTCAAATACTATGAATTTTTTATATACAACTTTTTAATATAATCATCTATATTTGTAGAAATTTTGAGCTATAACTTCATCCAAAAATACAAGATATGATCCAAACCAAAACCTTTATTAATAAAAATTTATTTACAAATCCCAATTTTAAAGCACTAACTTCCAATTGTTCTTTCTCTTTTCTTTTATAATGGAATGTATTGATTTCTTTACGTAAACTATAGTTCTTCATGTTAGCTTTCAAACCTCAATTTTCAATTACTAGATGCCTTCTTACAACTCTCTATATGCTTAAAAGAATAATATTAGATACCAAATTCACATCCTAACTTCAAACAATGATATCTCTCTCATTAAAACCCCAAATGTGAGCTGAAATAAACCTCCATTAGTTGGAAGTTTATTCTAGTTTACAATGAAAAAATTAACTTGTGAATTTTGATAGTTATATCTATTAATTAAATCCTAATTAATTCACTTGTTATTCTTCTTAAGTAAACCAAGCAATGAAACAAAAACTCTATTACCAAATAGTAAGTCACTTGACAAATTCCACAAAAGCAAAAAATCCTTATTGATATGATTTTAGTTTATTTTATTATTTTACTATTTATTTTATTTATTAACTTGTTTTAATTCTATTCTAATTAAAATTCATCCTTGCATAATATTTGATCCTTATACAATATATAATCCTTAAATAGCACTTCATCTACATATTTCATCCATATTTTCAAAATTCATTCTTGATCAAATTCATCCAACGAACCTAATTCAATCCTAACCCTAGTTCATTTATGTCTACTATGGTTCATCCGACACTAATTCATCAGCCTAACTGATCCTGCTTGAATTCTTACGAAGGAGATTGAGGGTGTTGCATGCGACTTCCTCCTGCGAAGAGCTCCCCTGCCTCAGAAGCAATGACTTCTCCAGCCTCCGCTAGAGTGACCCCAATTCAAAAGATCGCTTGTGGCACTTCCGCAACTCTGCCGCTTGGTCAATCTATCCCCTGATCACACTTTCGATCCGCTACAACTGCCTAATTCGCTGCTTCAGCTCTAATTTGCGTCGTTAATTTAAAACTAGCAAGTTGTGCAAATCAAAGAATCCGTCAAGAAAAAATTGGAACAAGGTCTTAGTCCAACCTCCATGCAATTTTCTTCACTTGATTCCTTGAATGGTGATGCCACCTACAAATTCTAGTAATAATACTAAATGCTCCTTAGAGGCTATGGCAGTCAGACTGCCTTTTGAATTTCTGATCTACCACCTAGTTCAGTTATGACTGTGGGCATGCACAATATGCCTCAACTATGACCTATGCGATTTTTGATCCAATTTCCTTCGCCTCAGTTGACCGATTCCACAGCAGGACATTGACCAATCATACAAGATTAACCTTTGCAACTAAATTGCCGCTTCATCCAGTGCAATGTTGTGTAGTTGTTCATCTACTGACCAAAATTCCATGCTGTAATGGTGCTATGTCCCTTTCCGCAATTCAGTTGTCCATTTGCGAAGCTATTGCTCCATCGCATCTACTTGAAAAAAAAATGTTGTTCCTAGCACAAAATTGATGATTACCAGCAAATACACCTTGCTAGTCCTAATGTAATAATTTGATGCACTGGTATATATCAATTACATGGTTAGAGGCAGCTATGAAGATCCAGAATTGTGCGCCACCTTCAACGCCAACCCATTTGCAGCGCCCTCAACGCCCAAAACTTTGTTTACAAAAACAAGACTTGTCTATCCTCAGAATGGCAACGCCCATGTGATATAAGCAAATGCGCACGAGTGACTCAACGGCTTGGCCAAGACGTCACAAAAATGATTAAGATCAGGAGAACAATGGGAGAGAACACATCGCAAAATTGATGCCTCTGCTATTGCCTCTCTAGTTAAATGCACGCCCAGCAGCACCACACACAGCGCTCAATAATCAAACAATGACGTTGAGTCGTTCATTGTAGCACTTAGGCAGAGAGAAAATTAAAAAAGAAGCTTGATTGTAGTGCAGCCACAGCAACACGCTCGACCAAGGGAACACTTCCAAGATTTGCCGCCAAACCTTGGAGCTGCACACTGACCACCAAAAAGGAAGGAAGATGCCGCCCTGCAGCTCCTCACAGGACAAAGAACACCAGCTTTTGTCGCACCCCAGGAAGTAAAAAACAACAACAAAAAAACACAAAAGTCCTGATCTCAAGTTGGACGACACTGGCGGCGTCTACGATTTGAATGATAACAAAAAAGGCTTCCGATGCAACCGTCACCACCCACTACAAGCTCCACTCTTTGGGTCCTAAACTCTACAATGATCACGTAAGAAAACAAGGCGCCGCAACACCACTCCACCGCAAGAGAAGGAGTTTTCGATCTCCACGTTGCATCCAAGCCACCGGCAACATTGACGACGATAGAAGAAGAACCAAACAGTAGCTGTCAGCAGCTGCAACACCACCGCATGCTACGAAGAGCACCAACAGAGAACGACATAGGACCAGACCGCCGCTGTCGCACATACAATGCATACAAGGAGGAACTCAAGATTTGTCTATTGCGGGGCTCTCCCAATATACACCACAGAAGAAAAAAATTGTGAAAAGACAAAATGACAAAAAATTGGCTCTTCCGCGTAGCTACACACCTGTAGGAAACAATACACCGGAGGAGAACTCTCTCAGAGTTGGAGCCCCGAAGCGCCTCATAAAAATCCAGCCACGGAGTCCAAACCTTGGAGCTTCCGGACCTCAGTACTTGCATAGAAAAGAAAACACAAGGGCGGTGGGATTCGGGGCAGCCCGGACTTCTATCCACACAGAGGTTGCCACAAATCAGGGGCAGCCTCTCTCCCTTGTCATCATCTTCTTTCCTTCATCTTCTTCCTTTTTCTTCTTTCTTCTTCTTTTCTCTTCTCTATTCTTTTCCTTTTTTCTTTTTCTTTTTTCCTTTTCTTCTCTATTCTTTTTTCATTTATTCTTTTGACTTTTTGATTTTGATTTTAATTTTTATAATGTATATATATTTCCTTTTGTCACAAAGGCTACTTCTTTTGATCCTTCATCTACTATTAGCTAACTAAAAATATATTCTTTGTAGAATTTTTTCTTACTAAATTCTATCCTAAGTTGTATATCCACTATTAGAAATCTATTTTCTAATTCTCTTAAAAAATTCTACTACTAATTCACAAAAATTAGTGACTTTAAGCACAATAAGTACATTTTTTATACTAAATATCCAAGTGAGTCTATTCAATGACTTACATCAAATCACACATTTTTTTCACCAAAATTCTAGTCTAAAACTAAAGCTTTCTCAATCCAAATTTTAAACTTTCAATGGATTGCTTTACCTTGAATGGTCCGCCTTGCCTCAAATAAGCCACATTAAAATGGTTCCAAACTCTAATGTGATCTCAAATAACATCTCAAAGCCTATTGAATATGACTTTCAACCAATGGAAATGAAGTCCTCAATCACTTACTTTATCCATCCACATGGAATGGCATAGGAGTCAAAATATTATACTTTTGACACTAAAGCCCTTCTAAATTCTTTAATAATAAATCTTATCATTTCTATTTTTAATTATAAAACTTAAATTATAAACTTAAATAAATTAGATATATATTTTATTTTATTTTATTTTATTTTTAATTAAAATCCAAACTTTCATAATATTTCATATTATTTTTACATATTATACTACTTTTTAGCTTAATACTAGTCTCTACCTTAATGAGATAAGACTCAATCTCTTTCATATGCAATCCACTTGCTCTTTCTACATAGTCATCTATAAGCTTCTTCATATTTCCTCTTCTAAAATAGAGCTTCAAAGGTTGTCCCGTAGTAGTGAGCCTCACTCTACCTTCTTTGAAGAAGATAAGTCTTTTTTTCAAGTCTTCATCATAATCAGAGCAATCTTTCTTCTCTTGCTTAAGACTATCACAATACATGCACTTCTTAATAAATCTCTTCGATTCCTCAAATGTATGCAAAGAGGTAGCTCTTTGGTTCTTCTTCAACTCAATCATCTCTATTTTCAATTCTCTCATGCCTTTAACTAACTCTTTAAAGGTATCTTTGAGAAGAATCTTATATATCACGTGGATTAGTATAGATGTGACTAGACTTAATGGAATCATTGATATCATAGGTAGTAGAACTTCATGCCTCAAAGTCCTTTCTCTTACCTTCATCTGCCATTACTTAGTCACCAATAGTATTGCATCTTCTACTCTTTCTTAATTATTAATTAAACCTCTTTCGTTGGACTTATCAACCAAAAGCATATCCTCTAATGTTTCATTTACTACTTATAAGAAGAGCTTGATCTTCCTTACATCTAATAAAAGTCTCTTTAAAGATGAGAGTTGAGAGAATTTTCTTTTAAACTCTCTAAACAATTCAATGGAGGCCATAAACCATCCTAGTTGTTGCTCATCTCACTCCAAAAATAATTTCTTGATGATCCTATCAGAACCTTTATTATAAGATTCATCTTTTAAATTTCTCTCAAAATTACTTTAAGTCTCTAGATCATTTGTATGCAAATCCATTTCTTTCTTTCTAATTTCAAAAATATATGCCAACTCAAAACTAAAAATATAGCAAGACTTAGAGACTTGATGTGCATCTAACTCTTTTACATATGCTTGAAGAAACTTGGTGAGGTTTCTTCCATCAAACCTTCTATGATTGTCAACCATGCCTTGCAATGCCTTGGTCACCTTCTTATTTGCTTATATCTCTTTTTGTCTTTTCATGAATATACTCAAAGCCAAGAACAAATAATTGGCATTTTATCCTTCATGGCTATTTGCAATAGTCTCTCCAAAATCATCAATTATCTTTAAATCTCAAAAATCTCTCATTTTTTTCTTTTTACCTCTTAAATTCTTCTTCATGTTCTAATCTTATGCCTTAGTTCCATAAATCCATTATACTCCACTTATACTTCCAATTGCCACGAAGATGCTTTCAAGGAAAATACCAAATTTATATTAAGAGAGCAAGCTACCTTCAGACAATATGACATTTTTGATTGTAAGTGAGTTGTAAGAAGTACAATGTTACCCAAATGAATTCAAATATAATGAAGTAGTTCAAAAGTTGAGTATAAATTTTAGATTAAAATTTTTTTTAAACAAAGATGCATCCAATTCCTATCCCTAATCTCAAATTTAAATCTATTTTCACTAAAATACATATAAATTACTTATTACTAACTCAATATAGGCAAATTTTAATTCATTGAGCTTAATTCAAGTTACAAACTTCAAAATTTTTAAATTAATAAACAAAATTTTGAAAAAATAAGAACCAAACCTAAGAAAAAAGTTTGATTCTTACTACAGCTATTGCTCTTATAACCCACATCCACAAATTAGCTTAGATCTCTTTTATCATAGCTCTTCTTCTTATATGCTAAGGCTTGTTAAAAACCTAACAATAAGATCTATATTTTCTTTAAATATCAATATAAAAAGACAAAAATTCAATAAAAAACATAAAAATCTCCAAATTAGTCTTGAAACTTATAGCCTAAAAACTCTATCAACCTCCCTTCCACAAATTTTTATAGATATCCCTTGTTATAGCTTTCTTCTTACATACTAATACTTGTTGAAAAGCTAAAAATAAGATCTAATTTTCTAAAAATTTTAAAATAGAAAGACAAAAATATAATAGATGGCATAGAAAATTCCAAACCAATCTTGATTCTTATTATCTAAAAACTCCAATAACTCCCTTCTTATAAATTTATATGAATCTCCCTTATTATAGTTCTTTTCTTTGCATATTAAGGCTTTTTGGAATGCTTACAATGAGATCTAGCTTTTTTCAAAATCTCAAGATAAAAAGAAGAAAATACAATAAATGGCATTAAAAACTTCAATCTAGTTTTGAATTTTTTTATTCAAAAATTCTAACAATTCTCCTCCTAAAAATTTTCTTAGATTACCCTTGTCATAGCTCTTTTTCTTACATACTAAGACTTAATAGAAAGCTAACAAAAAGATCTATTTTTTAAAAATAATTTAAGACAAAAAAAAAAAAAAAAAAAAAAAAAAAAAACAATAAATGGCATAGAAAACCTCAAATCAATCTTGAATTCCATTGCCCAAAAACTCTAGGAATTCCTCTTTTACATTCTTATTTAAGCAAAAAAAATTGAAAAAAAAAAAAAAAAAAAAAAAAAAAATCTACTTGACGTCAAAATCCTTATCCTAAACTTCTTTCAATATCTGCCTTAATCCATTAAAGAGTTACATATCTGTTCTAAAAGATAATATCTTCAAAGCTTGAATAATCCATTTAAACATCATATTCTAAATTCCATTTAAGCATATAAATATATTAGCATTGTATTTCTTCCTTCTTATAAGTAAAATTAATTACCTTCCAAATAACTTTGATGCACTTGAATTAAGTGTATTACAATAATGTACCAAGACCAAATATCTCATTTGTCATAATCTACTTGTCATAATAACCAAATCAATAATCCATTTTAAATGAATAGCCAAATAATATGCTTGATATAAACCATTTCAATAATATATATTAGAATATGTTTGAAAAATTTTACACCATTCTACAAATAAAGTATATCTTAATATATTTTTTTTACCAATACTATTTTTTAAATTTATTAGGAATAGCTCAAATTTTCTTATATCATGTCTACAAATTATCATAAAATATTTTTGATAATTTTTATTGCTCTTCCATATTTCCTATAACTTCTTGTGGAATTCCAATTCCTTTCTTTAGTCTCTACAATAACGTTTGGTACTTGAAAAGATTCAAGTATAGAATAAACTTTTCTTAAATGAATTTCCACAATCTTATGATCATCTCATAATCCAATAGATATAATAAACTCCAAAGAATCATCTAATTCATTTTCTTCATAAATACCAAAATCTTTCTATTATCTTCTAATGTCTTCAATTTACATAATTCTTTTTTCTATATCATATTTTTTTTTATTTTTTATTTTTTTAAATCCTAAATTTTTTTGTATATAATACTTTTATTTTTAAAAATACCAATAAAAATTGCATCAAAGACACCTATATCTTTTGAGAATATATCTTCTTTTGTACCTCCATAATCTTGTATTATAGTCGTATTTTTCCAAAATCCTTAAATTCTTCAATAATTCTTTGCAATGATTTTTCCTTTAACCTATCTTGATTCCATTCATGATTAAAAAGCATAGTTCAAACTTATATCAATTTCCTTCTATCTTTAATATGTATCTATGCATATATTAAATCATCATCAAGTATTTTTATTTCCATCTTTTTTGCCATAGTATATGATTGTCTTAAAATCATTGGATAAGATATTATATCTTGAACAAAGAAATGCTATTTTGTTTCAACATCTATAATCCAAATTTAATATTTGGATAAGCTCTATATAATTCACCTCGTGTATTATTAGCTATTTTTATTATCTATCTATATTCCATATCAATTGGCCACATTCCTTTCTTATAAAGATCTTTAGACACAAGTTTTATATTAGAATTGTGGTCAACTAAAGTAACAACTAGTTCTTCTATATCTCCTACCTTCACTAATACTTTTGTGGTTGCCTTTGCCTAATGCTTTTGAGTATAATGGCTTGAAGCTTTTATTTCCTTGTTACTATAATCTTCAAAATTCACTCGTTGATTATAACCATTCTTTTCACTTGTTGATTTATTATAACTATTATCAACCTCTTCTTTGTCCATGTATATCCTTGCATCAATAGCATGACTCATTCAAGCTTCTTCTATTAA